GGTTCCCTGCTGGGCCTGCAGCCTGGGTCAAATGAGAATCCCCGGCCCCGGGTTGTCTCACTCACTCGCCAGGCCTGCCAGGCCTGCGCTCTGGGTCTGTTCAGGATCCCGCGGCCCTCGGTCCTCTCACTCACTCGCCGGGCCTGCGCTCTTGGTTTCTGGTTTTAAAGGGGTCACATTCCCTAACTTTACACATCAGCTTTGGTACTAACACAAAATTAGAGCAGTCACTTTACTTGAGACTAAAGTGATTTTAATAAATCAGGTTCAGCCAGGCATGGTGGCACACACCTGTAATCCCAGCCTTGGGGAGGCCGAGGCAGGAGGATTACCATGAGTTTGAGGCCATCCTGGGCTACACAGTGAGTTCAAGGCCAGCCTGAAGAACCCAGTAAGACCCCTATCTTAAAAGAAATAGGTTGGCAAGAAAACTACTGAAAATTTTGCTCTATTTTGTCTTTGATTGCTGTATTTTGTACTTCTTTGAAATAGCAATCTTTTTAAAAATTTCTGGGTTTTTTTGAGGCCATCTCATGATACAGTTCAGGCTGACCATGTAGCTCAGGTTGGCCTTGAACTTGATAGCCATCCTGCCTCAGCCTCCCAAGTCCTGAGATTATTGGACTGACAGCAGTCATTTTTAACCCAGCAACCTTGCTAAAAAATCTGTAAGCATGAGGCCAGGGAGTTGGGTCAGTGAAATAAGCGCTTCTCTGGCAAGCGCAAAGGCCTGAGTTCAATCCCTGGTTCTGCCAATAAATAAATAAAAATAAACAAATGAAGCTACAAACAACTGCTACATAGGAGAAAAGTTGAAAAATAGTAAAGTTAAAAATCTGTAAGCATGGGGCCAGGGAGATAGCTCAGTAGAATAAGTGCTTGCCTGGCAAGCGCAAGGGCCTGAGTTCAAATCCTCGGTTCCACCAAAACAAAAGAAATCTCTAAGCTTTATTTGGATCACTTAAACTGTTATACTGAGGAACTCTTTTCAAATATATATAATTGAAATCAGTGAATCTCATAGATGTTTTGGATTTTTTTTTTCACTCCCCATTGATTGCAAACTGGATGTAAATCTCATGCATTCTATTGGTGTTTTGTTTTGTTCTTTCCACCCTTTGCAGTAGGCAACACATTCACTTTACTATGAGTAACCCTCACAGCTTGAGGCAGGTCCTCAATAAAGAAGTCTTGGTTATAACTCCAAGCCTTCATTGAACCCCCATCCCACATGAATAGGTATAGAATTGAAGGTGGCCATTTTAGTTTTGCTATTACATGTGAACAACTAGGAGGGTTTGTTAAAATTGGAAAGAGGATAAGGCAATTAGCACGACATGTTCAGTGGGATGATGATGGTGCCTTTGACTAGGGATCTTTTTGGAGGTCAGCTCTGTTTTAAGGATTATTCCATGAAAGAGAATGAGAATTAAGATGTACAAACTAAATAGTCATACCAAATCTGCCCACGGGCAGTCTCATCCTAATTTTCTTCAAGTGATTGTCCTATTTCAGGTACCCCACCACATTAAGATGAAAAAACTAACATAGAACAGTCCACCAAATGAAGACTAATCTGATGGGGTTTTAAGCAGAAATGAATTTGTGGTAAAATAATCCAATTAATGTGGTATTTGCTACAGAATTAACGCCCCTCCCCACTGAGGCTTAAGCACTCAAGTCTTAAAGGACAGTGGAGTATTGTAAGGACTTTATGTCCCCAAGTACCAAGACATGAGTTTTCATTGTTTTGCTCTCTTTAAAATGAGATGGGAGGGGGCCTGGCCCTAGCTCAGTTCTTTAAGTGGCTGCTTCCACAAAGCTGTCAGCCTCAGGTGGTTCTAGTTCGATCCCCACAACACTCCAGCCAGCCAAAAGTGCCCTGAAGGCATTCGAGGAGCAAAAATAAATAAATAAATAAAATGAGATGGGAGCCAGGTGTGGTGGCACGAGCATGGAATCCCAGCACTTTAGAAGCTGAGGCAGGAGGATTGCTGTGAGTTCTGGGCCAGCCTGGACTGCACAGCGAGACCCTATTGAAAAAAAAATGTTGTCAGAAGTTAAAATTAAGCAAAATAATCGAGAACACCTGTACTCATAAACTGCACAGGACTGAAACCACCACTTGAAATCATAGCCTGGTCCCATCTCGGTTAGGGCTTAAGAAGTAGAAGGTCGGGATCAACAGACGTTGGACTTCGCAGACACTAACGAATACCTAGGTTTCTCCTTTCCCTATCCCTCACTGCATTGCCTTGGTCGGCTGCATTAAGATACTGAAGTAACTTATTTAATAATTTTATGCTCTGAAAACGTCTTAAAAGTTCTCTCCAGTAGCATCTACTGCCTTCCAATCCCAGCAATAGAATTTTTGCCTTAAACTTTTTACTTTTCAAAAATTAACTCTCACGGGGGAAGATGTGGGGCCGGGAAGATGGCTCAGTGGAATAAGCGCTTCCCTGGCAAGTACAAGGGCCTGAGTTCAATCCCTGGTTCTGCCCCAAAAATAAATAATAAAAAAGGGGGGAAGATGAGTGGGTAAGAGGTCCCCCAAAACAATACTAGAAGTTGATACTGAGCTAAAATATAATTATACTTCAACTACAAAATTTTAAGGTTATTTTTATTTACAGCTTTTGAAAAATGTACATTTTTTACATGGGTTACTTGTGCAAAGTTAGAAGAGGGATAAATGCATAAAGGCAACAATGAAAATTAGACAAAACATTTACAGGCTTTGTCTCAGACTGTATAGCTAAAAGTATAAATATCAAAAAAAGATTGTAAATGTTGGATTAAAGGTTCTTGTAACAGAAAAAGAAACTAAAGCATGCAGTAGTAACTCAGGATTTGAGTGAAAAGCAAGTTTGCCAGATATGCTCCCTTCTTTAATTAAACTCATAAAGGATTGTAAGTTCATCTAGGGCAACACTTCAATGAATGAAAAGATCTTCAACTTTCCCTCGCTCCAAAACTGATGACTGTTTCCATTCCTTGCTCCCATACCTCTAAAAAAATAAAAAAACTCAAAAGACCAGTAAGGATTCTGAAACTTCGCAGATGGGTCCTGTCAAAGCCTTACAAGGAGTGGATATGTCACTTACTGTGTTGGTGCAGTCCCTTTGCAGGGCCCTTTAACATTCTCCTTTCCTTCTGATAAATACCATCTTATCATTTGAACTGCTTGAGAATTAGTATTACAGAAATTTTTAAGACTCCATTCCCTTCTCAAAATGGCTTTTTATATCAATTTGTTTTTCTATATAGACTCACACATTCCCTTATAATTGCCACACAAGGGAAAGACTGGCCAGGACAAAATACTTCAGCAAATTATTTTGTTAAAAGTAACATCCTGGTCATCAAAGTATGCGTAAGAACCACTGTATAACATTCATCTTAAAAATTTAGTGTATAGTAACACAAATAACTGCCTGAAAGCTGGAGATGAGCAACAACAAAAAATATTAAGCATTAGTAATTTTTGCAAGTAACCCAGGTACAGTACATTTGATTTCAGAGGGTGTTTTTTTGATGTTTAACAAGAGAGTAGAAGGGCTAGGAAAAACTTGGCAAGGGAAGATGGAAACAGCACAACAGCTATTTTGCTTTTAATAAAGTAAATGTAATATAACATTGAATAAGAAGGTGATAAACACATCAATTCATATTTGCTTATAGCCAGCCTCTTCTTTTTTTCGACCTGAGGTCAACAGTCACGCCAGCTCTGTTCTACAATTGCAGAAACGCGCTTTTCATATTCCCTCTTATTCTCCTGGTACAGCTGAGCAGCCTGGCTATTTGCTGGACTATTGGGATTGGGTTCATCCAGTAGAGACTGCAGAGAAAAATATTTAAATGTCAGGCCCCCAAAGGAAAAAAGAATGTTTTGGATAAAGAACTATTTAATCAGACAGTAACAATGGAATTCTAAGTAATAGTTAAATTTGCTGTCTTAGCCTATTAAGCTGATATACTATCCATATTAATGTACAGTTGCAGTATGTGCATGTAGCTAGGAAAAGACATGCACACAGTGTTTGGGTCATATTCTGGTGGTTTGGGTCATGAATGTCTGCCATCTTCTATATATAAGACACACTGACTAAAAAGTTCTTACTACTGTAAAAATAATCACTAATGTAAACATATCAAAGGTCAGAGTCACAGTAAGGGAAATTCACCTGTATGGATGTTAAGATGGAAGACACATCATAGGTTGGACTCCAACGGTTCTGAAGTATATCCAGACATATACTACCATCTGCATAGACTAAGGGAGCATAGAAGTAGGTATATTAAACACAGTAAGACTGCTAAGGTTTTAACACAGTCAAAACAAAAATAGTCAAGAATACTTTGCTTTCAAAGTTTGAAAAGATACTTAGGCTACTTTGCAGGTACTTGCCTAAATAGATAAGATGGATCATAACTGTTATGAATCAAATAATCAGGATCATCCGAGAATGTGATTAGTATATAACTGGAGGATATTTAGTATTCATTTTTTTAACACTTTTTTTTTTTTTGCAGAACCAGGGATTAAACTCAGGCCCTTATTGAACCATCTCTCTGGCCCCTTCACTTAAAAAAAAAAAAACCTATCCTGTTTTCCAGAAAATTACAGACATTTTCTAACACGGTCCCTATCCATACAATTACGGCAAATGTAGTGCATTCAATTTGTAACTATATCTAATTGGAATATTAAAAGTAGAAAAAAGCAAAAAAAAAAAAAAGTAGAAAGAAGCAGAAGTTAAAATCCTATAGAGCTGTAGCATTTTTCTCACATACTGTACACATGGCCCTTAGCAGAATCTAACATTTGGCAAGTCTACAGTGGGGTCAGAGCATCTGTGTGCTTTAAACATTCCATGGGATTTCTGATATACGTGTAAATCAGAAAATTATTGTTCTAAATGCTAGTGAAGATAATTAGAAGACATGATTACACCAATCTAGCACAGGATGAAAAGGAAATCTCAATAGTATTCCTATTTTTATTTAATGAATAAGTGACAGAGATCATCAAAATCAGGAGGCCTTGACTCGAAACAAAGGGAAAGTATCTTCATTGCTTCAATCCTAAAACTACTGTATAGATCAAGAATGGAAAAAAAAAAGAATGGCAATAGATCTATGAACAAGTTCTCATTTCAGGAAACAGCAAGATATCTAAGCAAACATTCAAGTACTATATATAAGAAATAAGAAGAATGGAATACCAGCATAAGAAACATGGGAACAATTTGAAATACTGTAGCAAAAGTGATACTTGCCATTTGGATGAAACATCTTAGAGATAAATCTAACTGTAGGTGGTTTATTTGGATATTCTTCAGTGAATTCTATTGTAAGTTTAAATGTTCCTGTAGTTGGAAAAGAAAGAGTTAAAAATTTATTTACCACTTTATTAGTACTTTGTTATAAATGCTAATTGAGTTTTTCAAGTATTAGATGAAATAATGCAAAGCTATATTATAGAGAGGATAGACTGGGTAAGAAATATATGTTACAATTGCTTTAAAGATGGAGAGATATTCTAAGAATCACTATATGAAGGTGATTTTTTTCTTTAGTCATTATTCTCCAAACATAAAGACAGTCATCATCCATCATAAACTCAAAATTACTGCCTCTGGGATAACTTTAGGTACTGTGCCTTTTGAAAATATCTTTACAATAAAATGGTCCCAAACTTTGGCCCTTCATCCTTCAGGAGACTGTCAGACTTCAAAGGCCTATTTCAGTCTCTTGCCATCTTAAGCAGGTGACTTTAAATGAACTAGAAATAAAAGCACAGAAATTCAAAAACCAATTATAGCACTATAAATCCATAATTGTTATTCTAAAAATAGAAGTACAAAAATATTCATTATTTTTTCAAGTAATAGTGATTCTGTAATGAAAACTTAATTTAAGCCAGAACAAACAATAATCTCTCTCAAAAACCTTTAAGTATGACTCATAAAGTACTTCACTATAAAACAAGTCAATTATTTACACTAGCGGAGGGAATTAATGGCAGAAATAATTTAAAAATTACTTTTAGCTTATATTGTATTCATGACTTCTCAAAATTTCTGTTTCTAATGATATTTCTCTGGCTACTATAGAAAAATTATTTTTCTTAAACATGTGTCAACCTAAGGTAGCAGGAGGCTATAAAGCACTCTAGGATATAGGGAAACTGGATCTCATACAGGAATGGTCATATGTTGAGATTTAAGGACACTGTGTCCTTCAAAATATTTGCATTAAATAAATTAAAAAAAAACAATTAGGCAAGTCTTTTTCCTGATTCAAATCTTTTCAAGTAAACCTAAGAAAGGAATCAGTTACTATCTGGCATGTTCTCCTGTATTGCTTTGGTCATTTAACTACTTATTGCAATACAATAGGAAGCACTTCTGACAATAATTTTCTGCTGATTCCTTGAAAGTTTGCAATTGGTTTCCTCCTTGCTCCCATTAGTTTTACTACTGCCAAGAACAAAAGAATACTATAATCATCCTGCTACTATGTCACAAAACAATACCAGAAAAAAATGTGTTCTACTATGAAATTCACAGGAAACAACTTGTTAACAAAGTTAAAACTAGTATGACTGTGTGGTCCAAAACTTCAATTACAAATGCAACACAGGGCTAGGGATGTAGGTTAATGCTGTAGGACATGTTTAGTACACACAAAGTGCCAGATTCCTTCTCTAGCCACAAAAGAAATATAAAATAAAATGTAGTATTTAGAGACATGTTATACCCCCCAACTTGCCACACCATAAACTCTTTTCTTTTGGAAGCTAAATATGCAGATACTATATAACTAAGGAAAAGAAGTAAAATGTTATGGAATGGATCAACATAGACTGTAGTCTCTCAGAACATATTCTACCTTACCACCTGGTCAAAAACCTTGCTGAGAAGAAACAATAGTTCTTTTATTTTTTTTTCCCCTGAAGCCTGTTTCCCCATTCACAATACAGACAAGGCCTGGGCTGAGGTGCATATGGGGCAAATTTACTTTTCCTCCCTTTTCTATACAGTCAGCATAAAACACTGCCTGTGGTAAGCACCAGGAGGCACAACAGTTCTTTTTTAAAAAATTAAGTATTTTATTTATTTATGTGGCACAGTCTCACTAAGCAGCTCAGACTTGTAATGATCCTCTTGTCTCAGCCTCCTCAGCACTAAGAGTATAGGCCTGTGCCACCACGCCTAGAGGGTCCTTTCACTTGCCAGGCAGGTGCTTAGACCATACAGCTATCTCCCCATCCCTTCCTTTTCTTTATTATTCACACTTTGATATGCAGAAAAATGGGAGTAGTAAAGGGCTCAAAACTTTGTGCTTATGAATCTCAAATGTAAATATGTTGGGATCAACGCTGAAATATGATTAAATTTATAGGTAAGTGATTTATCACCAATTGCTCTAAAACTAGTCAGGCTTCATCACACACCAAGACCCCAGCTACTTTAATCAAAACCATTGTTAAGTATGATATGCAAAAGCAGTAGAGCAATACATACAGGAAGCACAGCAAAAACAGAGCACAGCTGGGTAAGCATGCAAGCTTCCAAGTTAGGCCTGGGTTCAGATCTCTGCTTTGCTGTTTACTAGCTGTAATACGTGGGGAAGGTGCTCAACTTGATGACACCTCAAGTTCTAAATGAGTAAAATGAGGTTAATAATAGTTCCTGCCACAGCATTGTTATAAGGCTTAAGTGAGGGAAATATGCACTGTGCAACAAAACAAACACTCCATAAATATGGGCAATTGTTTTAGCTGAAATTCTAAAACCTGATATGTCTAGATCTGACTAAAGAAAACAAAGATTTAAAATGCAAGTTTCACTATTAGTAAGCAATATACAATTAATGAAATAGGGCATCAGGTAGCACTTGATTTTTGACACACAAACAGTATATATATATTGGTGGCTCATAAATTCTTTGACTTAAGCTTTCTGCCCAACACTTGCCCAGAGCTTCAACATGGTTTTCTAGCTGCCAAAAGTTAAGCACATCTTTTAAAACAGCTTTTAGGGGGCCAGAGAGATGGCTCAGTGGAATAAGCGCTTCCCTGGCAAGCACAAGGGCCTGAGTTCAATCCCCGGTACAAAAAAAAACTTAATATCTTCAGAAGTATCTGAGTAGACAAAAATTAAGACTTACTCAAGTCTTATTCAATGTACATATTAAAAGGGATATATTTCATACTTTTAGTCACATTAACAATTAGAACTTCTTTGTACAAAACTCGATACAATTACTGGATGTAACAAAATAATAAGAAAATCAATGGTCAAAATATTACACAATTTGGGCCGGGTGATTGTTCAGCAGGGCTGGGGTGATAGCTCAGTAGAATATACACTTCCCTGGCAAGCGCAAGGGCCTGAGTTCAATCCCCAGTTCCGGAGGGGAAAAAAATTATATATATATTACACAATTTGCCACTAGATCTTACACTCAAGAATATTTTTTTTAAAATTATTTATTTTTATTTATTACATTTATTTATTGTGTGTGTGGCCAGCTCAGCCCACCAGGGGGCGG